AACAGGCACAGTATTACAAAAAGGATAAGATTCTTCTCATCCATCCTTCACTTTCCCTCTTATACTCACTTGCTTTAGGTTTAGCTTGTCTTAATTCTGTCTTAGCAGAAATCTCTGGCAACACAAGCTTGAGAAATACCATGCTTGAAGTTTTTGATTTCCATTGTCAACCCAAGCGAATGTACATGTGGTGCAAAAATAACCATGAAATTTTCTTCAAGGACCCATAAAATCGTCCATGTGAAGTCTTTTTCTAAAATAGACCATGTTTATATTTTGGGTTCTACTTTGTATAGGTAAACAAGAAAATAACTGTCAGATGAAAAATTTAATCAGGCAGAATAATAATGCAGACTTCAGGAAATCCTTCAGATCTTTGGACCAGTAGCAAGACTGGGCAAGGAAAGAAGAAACCTGAAAAAGTGAAGTAGCTGTAATAGTTTGCAAACAGCCGAATACAGCGATGGCTTTTCTTAAGGACTGGAGTCCTGGATGTTTTCTTTGTCCCCGTGGCATCTCAGTCTTCAGCACCAGTACTGGTTATTTCCCCAGGACCAGAGCTTAAACTCTGGAATCGAACTTCAGGTGAGCTACAGAGGTTAACATGCTGAAGCACCTGTGATGCCTGGCAGTACAAGAGAATTTACAGAAGCATCAATAGTGTCTCTTGTGAACTGTTGCAAGGCTAATTTCACATTTTGTGACATTCTCACAACAGAAGTCTACCCTCCCTTTTCACTGCACTTCCCCCTCTGATATTCAAGCAAGCAAACTATCCTGAACTCTCAAGCAGCTCTGCCCAATTCTGTTCCATGCAAGCAGATGTACTCTCCTTCCCTCACTGCTCTTACATCTCCTACGTTGCTGCCATGCAAACAAAAATTAAGATAACATGTAGACAGGATAAGTGACCTTCTGGCACTGCTGGAATCAAGAGTAATTAACCAAAGGAGGAGGAAGGAGGAGAAGAAGTTAAGACCCCACTTGTCTAAGGAATATACAGCTGGCCATGTGATTCAAAAAACCCAAAGCACATGGTATTCAGCTATCCACCAAATACATCATTCTGTAACTGTAAAAGAGACAACTATAAATGATGGACCTAAGCATAGAAATTGTAATTGACCACAGACATACGCCTAGCTCATTATAAGTTATCAACAGGCAGAGCATCCATATTCCATTGGGGGGAAGGCAAAGAACTCAGTCTGACCCACTCAGGCCACGCGCCAGGCCTAATGCAAATAGATGAAACCATTTTTACATTAGCCGTCCCTACAAATATGTGAAACAGCCAGATTGGTAGACAAACAAAACAAAAAAGCTCAGCTGAATAGTCATGAAAGATTGGCAGAAATCTGATGGCAAACAGGAAATAACAGTGTATGGCCAGCCAGCAGAATAAAGTCACTTTTAATTGCAGAATACTGAGACTATATGGGGGGGGGGG